CCCCTGGTGTTTCTTTCTCCCCATTCTTTATTCCATTTCCCAATATTCGTTCATACTTTCCATTAGAAAGAACTACACTGGCGTTTTTTCTTCTTTTTGGTTTGCATTTGCGATGATTATAAAATCGTAATTTTTCACTCATTTCTTTAAAAACACAACTCTGTTTGTCTCCACCTCGACATCATATTCTGACGGTCGTTTAATAGAAAAAAAGAAGTCTCTCATGTTGTGTATTTCATTTATAGTGACTGTCACGTCAAACCACCTGTACACAAAAGGATCCCCTTATCGTCTATATACACTAGATCGTAGTAAGCATAGTAAAACACTCCTTTTGCTCCTTTAATGAACCCCAACCAACTTATCACTTTTAACTTTTGTAAAGTTGGTGCTCGTGTTACCTTTTTTCCATACAATTCTGGATATTTCGGTGCATATGATTTCCAATTCATCGCTTGTAGAACGGGCCAAGTCGATCGGGTGCTTTTGACGACACCATTTACTTTTTTTGATATTTGTATACATTGAACACTACCGACTCGGTGATAGGATATATGTCTAGTCCATATGCATCGAACGCTGTAAGATTTTGAACTGTATCTTGACGCTGGTAATAAATTGAATAACATGGACGATTGGGGTCTTTATCTATAAAAGTCATAATCAAATTAACAAATTCATCAAGTTTATATTATTTAGTTTTGTCATCGACACACCACGCAAAAAAAATTGGGTGGTCTTTGTACGTCTCAATATAAGTCAACAATTTCTTATATTTTACGTTATTATAATCCTTAGTTATATAACATGATGATATGTAATATGAATACAAGTCTTTGACTGTAATTAAAGCTCTTAAATTATCACCGTATTTCACATTCATTATATCCAACATTTAGATGGGCGGTTTGCCATAATGCATTATTGTGTTAATATGGATCTTAACCAATTCTTCCATTTCATCTTCTGTAATTGAAAAGTAATACATGCCAATATGTAAGAATGGTACTCCGTTCTCTAATACTCTTCCGTATTTATCAAAAGCGAATTTTTGGTGTTTATCAACTACTCGATTTAACTGTGTTTTAATAGTTTCTTTGGTGTTCTCTGGAAGATACAATAACTCGGCAGTGACATCATATAATTCTTTGAATGTGAAATTGTTATCCTTTTGTATAATAGTGATTCTCTTAATCGCAAACACGGTTTTAGTTGTTTTAATAACACCACCTTTCGAAATTGAAACTGTGATTAGCCGGTGTTGGAGATCTATTTCAGAAGACGCATTTTGCTTGACTTATATAATATAAATATTGAGTGAAACTTTTATCTACATCTCTGTGATGACAGCATTGAGTATTTTTTAAGTTTACTTTGATTGTACCAAATCTTTCAGATTGCCAACAACACAATTTAAAATCTTATGTGTTTAAATGTGTGGTTGTTGACCAATAAAGTTGGAGACAAATTAATTGAAAGAAGAAAAAGAAATAGTTTTAAAACTCTAATAAAGAACTATTGTCTAATGGATTTTAGTGTCTTGGTATTATTTGGTACAGAGGTTTACAAAATCACAATCCTAATTACCCACGTCATTATTTTATAACCAAAACGTTTATTTTCTCTTATAAATTCGTACGTTAAAATACCACTTTTTCGGCAATAATAATTGTGGAAACGC